GTAGAAATTTTTTCTTCATATTCCGACGGGAAGTTTGAAAATTTTGCGTTTTTACTACCGGCCGCCATTAATTTTTCATCTCACGGCCAAAAGGATTATWTTCGGTCAGCGGTCTTCTCGTGACGTCATTTACTCTACTTATTCCATAACGCTGGCGTCTTTCCTCTTGTTTCTTTGTAAAGYTAGAGAAGTTAGAAGCTAGTTTACTGTGGATTTTTTTAAAGTTTTCACGCTCATATCAGCGACCGAGTACGATATTTTCCTTGTCGACCTTTCTGTTGCTTTAAAAACATGGAAAATGTCAACAGCGTCGAGATATACGACTATGAAGAGCTCGAACCTATTGCCAACGAAGAAGAGATCGCTGAGTTCAGAATCGAGCTCGAAGAAGAAGAAATGCTAAGAAGATTTTGTGGGGAGTCCAGGCAATGGTAAGACACTTAAAACTTTAATTAAACAAGGACAAATCACAAGTGAAGTTAAGACTTCTTCGAGAATACGCAGAAGCAGCAAACAAATTTTCATCGGAAGATTAAGGAACGCGTAAAACAAGAGCCAATCTGTATRTTCTAAGCTTTYTTGAGTTGTTTGAAAAACAAACTAGTGAGGTTCTTTGTTTGTGTTAGGTTATGTCGCTGTCATTTGAACATTTTGTATTCAAAGACAAGTGCAAATTAAGATGAAGAAAATCCGAGTTTCGTGATATTTCTATAAGGATATATAGGTACATTTGTTTTGATTCAATCTTTGTTTTATTTACCTAGGTGCACTTGTTCTAATTGTTGCCTAACTCTAGTGACAAAGCAAGAAGAGTGCTTTTGTTGCAATGACATCATGAGGTGCATGGACAAACTGAATGAACTGGATCAACAAGTTCAATGTATTACAAGTCACCCTGGCTTTGAATCTGTGTGTCTAGACAAGTATGTTCTGGAAACCGCTGCAGTGGGACTGAAGACAAGAGGGAACCGGAGTTATACTATTCTTAGAGAAAAGGGCTTTGCTAAAGAATCAGAGTATTAAGTATTGATTGAGCTTTATTCAGGTCTCYTCAGGCTCCAGCATTAACAGAAAATTTCCAATATTTTGTTATACTATGTATACAGTGATAAGAATAGCTGGCAATATCCTTAATATATTTTCTTGGTGTTCAGTTCTGACATTTGTTTTGATATTATTA